GTGGACCGTTTCATGAAACAGTGCCAAAATAAAAATAAAAAACAAATATATAAAATGAAGAGTCAGTAATACTGATTATTGGCTTATCGATTAGAAACTCGGGCTTAGAACTTCTAGACTTGGAGACGTGCCGAGCGATTCCAGTTTTGGACTGAGGTAAAAGCTCACCTTGACCGACTCTGTCCAGTTTTACTGGAAATAATAATCTCCAGGTCGAGGCATATTTAAATAATTCCAGAAGCGTTAATCACTGGCCGATTGCCCTAGCAAGGTGCATGCTGATTCAGCAGGTATAGCACCAGTCCCAATTAATATTGATAGGGTGCGTGTGATTGGTGATATATTAGCTCTGATTGGTCCATCAAGGTGTCCAATCCGCTTCGTGGTTTGTATTAAATCTAAATTGCATAAACAAATCTGTTGCAGGTGGAGCGGGACAACATGGGAGGCTAATAGTCATTAAATCTGATAGACTGTTGAATAGTCGTTTAATTATGTTACATGCTAGGTTCTGTTTGCCCAAATCGATCTGATCTTAAAATAACACGAAATCCATTACTACAGCATTTATAAGCAATTAGGAAAGCACTTTAAATAAATAATGGCGAAAAATTGATGAGTTCGATAATATTACATAATTACTATTAATTGTATTCGATAACTTACTTGTTGGAGCCGTATAGTTGATGAATGGAAAAGTTAATATTAATAATTATAATAGTAAATGTACCTTTAATCCTTTCTTTGTTTGCATAGGAGGAGACTTCGGTGGGATGGGAGGAGAGCGGGAATGTCGTTTTGTCATCCCCTCCCCCTCCTTCAATATTTTGTTGAACAAAATCAAAATCAATAACAATGAATCTAAACGAATGAATAAAATATGTAGCCTAAAATTATATAAGGAAATAAGAAAAATCTTCTAGATGACTAAGCTAAGGCCAAAAACTAGGTACGCTACGTTGCTATTATTGAAATTTTAGTTTATATTGGAAGATATATATGTGTAGCGAAAAATCCAAGGATTTTATTATTATATCACAATTTCCGCTCACACCTTTAAACAAAGATATGTAATATATTCAATTGCTTTGTTAACATATTTTTATAAGGAAAAAAAATCTAATGTAGAAACATACAAATATATATTTTTTTATGTATAGTAATATATTGTTCAATTTACAATAATTATTAATAATCCATAATTTTTATGCATAATTTAATCTCACGAGCCTTTTTTTTTTTAAAGACCTATCGCTCTCTAACCAGAATGAAAAGAATGCGCTTGTAATTGTACGCATTATGGTAAATCAGAGCTCGACAAACTAAAGAAGCTAAAAAGCCAAACACTATTAAAGGCTGATGGTGATTTTTTTTTCAAAATATATTACTTACAGTAAATATTATAAAGTGTTTATTTCTATTGGGGGCGGTGTGAGGTGAAATAAGAAGAGGTGGAAAAATACGTTTGCTCTCCCCCACCACCCGGCAATAATCCCAGTCATGGCTATATTTAAAAGAGTTTGGGCTTCATAATATTTACGAATTTTCCTTTGAAAATAATATTTATAGGAAGAATAATTGAGTTAGCAATGATCACCAAAGAAGAAGTCTATTCAATTTTTAATCGGAAGATCCTCCTTACGACGAACTTAGGTTTCTTAAACTGGTCTTAATATCTCGCTGACGTCACTATTACCAACTACTATTACCGTTAACTATATAATAATACGATTAAAATCCTGAAAATCGGATCCACGTTTTATTGGCTCCTGAGGAAAACAAAATCGATTAATTAAAGGAGTGGGCTAAATCGACTGAAAGAGAAGATTTTTAACTAAATATATGAATCAATGAATAATAATAACTGTATTACTCACTAACTGGACTTCCGTTTATCTTGACATTGTAGTTAAGTATAATTGCAATCTTCAACCTCCAACTTAACAGTACCGTTTATACGGTAAGATCTTTTGAAAAAAGTTGGGATGAAGACTTTGTAGTTAGTATATTTTTTTCCGGTAGTATTAAAAGTTTTTTTCTTCTATTTTTTTCGACTTCGACATCAATGTATAAATTAGAATTACAAAAAGAGGCTGAACTTTCATGTAAAGTATGCCTTATAATATATAAAAAAACTCCGTAATATGTACTTTTTAATTTTTTTATATGAAAATTGATCTTCTATTGCTTGAAATAGTTTATAATTATAAAACGTATGTTCTACATTACCAGATCTGATGGATGCCAATTTATATGCATCTACTGTGTTTTATACTTGGAACTTGTTTTGCACAGTGGTTTCAAAATAGGTATCGTATGGTTCTGTTCGAAAGATCATATTTGAATGGTTTACTTAATTGGCAGTTTTAATAATAATGAATATTACTGTTTTATAGAAATTAAGTAAATAGTGAAATTGAACGTGTTTGTAGTCTTTAAAAGAAATAAGAAGAGAAAGCCAGGAAATGAAAACATTCAATTTCTATAAAAAAACTCATTGAACGAAGGTATCATAGATTTACCGATGTCTTCCATTGTTAGCGAACCTTCTATTGTATTATGGAATGACATCTTCATGGCTGCACTTTAATGTTTTATTTCTCCTTTTGTTTTTTTGCACAATAAATTTTTATACGAGACAAATACATTTTTTTAATTGAATATGGGTTCACCAAACCGTAAGAATGTTTGGTAAAATATTTACAAAACGCATATGGAATTTTATAATAAACAAAAATAGGTATATAATTTTTAATTAAAATTCGTAATGCTCACATTAATTAAGAGTTTAAACACAAATTTTATAAAATATATAAATACCTTTTTTATAATCTTTTTTATGGAAGAATAATAGTACAATCTGCCACAATCTAGGGCATTGGGCATTAAAAAGAAATCAAAATAAAACATCTAAATAAAAAATATATACAATAAAATAATAACAAAAAATATGATACTTGTATAAAGAAAAAGAAAAAAAAATGTATTAAAAGGATAATAAAAAGAAAAAAAATGCTTGTCAAACTCATTCCAATAATAAATACTAAAACTTTTACTGAACTTAAAATATTGTAAAATCCCGGAGCTTTTGCCATAGAACAGTCAGTGTAAGGACAAAGCAACAAGATATATATGTATATATTACATGTACTTATATTGTAATAGTTGAAAAATAAAATAGATAATAAAAAAAAAAAAAAAGACACTTTCTTTAACAGCAGATTAAAAGTAGTTGTTGTTAAGGATTTGATTATTGAGGGATCAAAATTTGTTCATTGATTACTAAAACACAATATACTAGCCGAAGATTTCTTCCAAATAGAAAAATATGTTATAAAAGTTAAAAAAAAAAATCTCGTATGAGTTAAACAGGAAAATGACTAAACATTTAGAAAAATACAGATGACGGATACTCAACGTAACATCAGACAGAATAATTAAACCATCCCTTGTCGGTGAAATATGAATAATAAAAGAAGGGCTCGTAAATCGACCTGGTTGATCTCGTGCCCCCGAAGGCTGACAAGGAAGGAAAAAGTGCCATTAAGGAAGAGCGACACGGAGAGCAATAACTGAACAAGATGAGAAAAGGAGGCAGCTAATGGAAGGAGAGAGGTGTATAGATCTTGGCGTCATCTCGGGGGAGCCATCTCGCCGATTTAGAGGCCCTCGGAGGTGATCTACTGGCGGAGGATCGTCCCGAAGAGTGATGGTCTGTCGGAGTACATGACTGTTAGCAGGGAATGCTGGAGCCCGCGCCTTCCAGGATTCCTTCTTGGTGTCGCTTATTCTTCAATAAGAGTCAATAGAAATACCAATGGAACGAGCCGTCTCATTGCTCTTATTCATTGTTAAGTTTTCTTTTAATCTTAACCAAGCGTTGACAACAACACGCCTTATATATGTTTAGAGTGAGATATTTTTTTTTAGCCTAAGAAAAAGCGCTTTCTCGTTCATGTACCTATAGGGGTAGCTATTAAAACAGATAAGCAGTGATATTATTTTTTAATGCGACTATGGATTAGAGCTTATAGTTGGAAATTGACGCGAATATTTTTGCGTCACTGATATGCGCATTTTGCAATAATCGCTATATGTCAATAGGTCTTCGAGGTGTTTATTTAGTAATGATTGCCCAATGTTTATGTATTTGGCAATAAAGGGGCTAATTAATGTTTAGCATCTAAATAAAGTAGAAGCAAAATCATTATCCATGTAAAAAAGTACTAATTTTGTTTTTAAAAATTCTGGTTCATTTTATAATGCTCCACCCTATTATATACATGTATTTTTTCTGCTTGTTTGGGAACGATTTGAAATGCCTAATAAGTATCATATTAGTAAATTTTATTCATAATAAAAGAATTATGTATAAACGAGTATGACCAATTTAAAATATTATAACAAATATATTTTTTTTCTTCTTTACATAATCCTATGAAAATATTTTGGTATGGAATTAATCTATTGAGAAAAAAATGTTAGCTCCGCTCATTAGAATGTAACCACTAGCGAATCCAGGATTTAATTTTTTTTTTGGGGTGGTGCTTCAACATGAAACATTTTTTTGAATATATATATATATATATATATATATATATATAACAATAATTAATCTGAAAAAAAAAAGAAAGAAATGAACTACTTATATGAAATGATGTTTAAGTGATTCTTGAAGTCCTATTAAATGTAATTACACGAACAAGAATACTTTAAGAGATAGTTTTAATATTTTTTTCTATAAAACATGGTTATATTTTACCGTTTTGGGGAGGCTTCAGCCCTCATTTTTTTTCTCTTTTAAAATATTTTTTTAAATAATTGATTTTTATTCAGTAATTTTTTATTTATTATGTATGAATAATCAACATATTTATTGTAATTATCTCAAAGTTCATGGCCAGGTAATTCCTCTCTCACCTGCTGACATATAGAATCATCTGGATTAACCTATCATTTTCGCATATCTTCCATGAATGTGACAAACGATTTCTACTGAAATGCTACGAGGATTTACTTGCATATACATCCATGTCAATGTTAGACAAATGCACGACACACAAAGAATGCACGGACGTACCGAGGATATACGTTGGCGAACACGAGCTTTGTCCTATGGAACTGCCCACGCTGTGGTGTATTTACTGGAGGCTCTGAGTTGTCTGAAGCTGTATAATACTTTATCTTCTCAGGTCAGAGGTCCTATTTGTATTGTGTATGAAAAATAAGGCTACACATCTTGACTACGATTTGAAATACTGCTGGCGCCATCGAAGATCAATGGATAACGATAAATATATCAAGGTGACACAAACAACAGAAAAAGATATTACATGAAGAATATTGTGATTTGGGGCGGAATATGCGTCATATTGAGGTCTGTAAGTATAATTTTATTATATTGAGATAAATCATAGTTGACTATTTGATATGTAGTCAGGATTATAAATAAAATGATTTTCAATAAAATAAATAAATGAAGAATGGGATGTTCTGAGGGTTGGTTAGAAAAATAAATCAATTAATAGCCATTTATTTATTCAATGTTGACGTTTCGACTCCCGAATGTATCGAAATCTGTTTTATTTTTTTAGCGCATTATTATTATTTTTCCACGAAACGTGTCTCACAACAGTAGACCATTAGTTATCAGAAAGGAAGGTTTCTCACAGTAGAGAGCGAGGGCTTCTCAAGATGACCTTAAGATATTCCGTTAGACTTGGAGGATACTCTAGCGGTGTTCTATGGACCGTTGATGGTACCAATAGACCTTCAGGGTTGAGATCATCTGTGAATCTTCATCTCAAGACTAAACCTTTTAAGAACTAGATAGACAAAATCCTTATTGGCGAGATTATTTAGCATCTAAAGTTCATACAAGCTAATGTCATCCATAAAGTTTGTCTTAAAAAAGCCAAATCGTATATTGTGTTTTCAAAAATCCTTAAATTTTTAAATTGAATTGTATTTACTCATAATTTCTGATTATATTATAAATAAAATTATTCATAACTTGTTTAAAGCTTTACGGACATAGCCAAATATACAAACATTTTACTAAGGAAAGAGTTTTTAAATTTTTTATAATTTTGGTTATTGTATTTCTACAAAAGGATAATTTCAATTCATCATTATTAAATTATTCAATATACGTTCGTCAAATGTACTAATCTAAAAATTAATATACATTTATGTTGTTTGATAGGTTTATATGCTAGTGAGCAGATGTAGGTTGAAGTTCACATAAAATTTATTGTAAAACTTGTGGAAGAAATTAAACTACAGTCAATAATGCATATATATCTCTTCTCCTAAAGAGTGGTTATTTCATGATTAAAATGCATTTTTCAATGACGAATTGATATATGTATATGTATATATATTAGTGTACGATAGGTTGTTCAGATTAAGTTACTTAAGAGTTTGTAAAAGTATGAAATATATTTTTTTTAAATAATAAACTTTAAAAAATGACTTTGTGTTTCATTTATTACTGTACATACCTAATTATTCACTTGTAATATTTCCTTTCATACGTATCCCAATGGTTCTAAGAAACCAACGTTTATTAAATGTTTGCTCTAAATCATTTTCATAAATCATTTAACTTTTTAAAATTTTAAATATCGAGATTTGATGGATTGCCTCATGTGGGAAAATTCATTCACGATTTTACTACTATTTGCCAAATATATAAAGGTATGATTTTCAACTTCAATTGTTCTGCCTGAGATATAACAAAAAAATTAACGATAGTATATACACTGACAGGCAAAAAATTGCACCCACTTGATTTCTTCATGTTTTCATCTAAAAATATTTCTGCTTTGGATTGGTCTATTGTTTTTAATGAATAAATAGGTAATCTTTTTGTTTGTTTTCAATTAAGAATGCTAATATAGAGGACAATAACCATTAATCCTTAATTGAATGAAATGATTCTAGATTCCAATGTTTACTTTCTATGGAATCAAAATGTTTATTCAGTATCATTAGTTCAGTATTAATTTTTTCAATATTAAGTTTAAAAATGCCTCTTAATGCTGAGGATGTTGCGCGTGGTGTGGCACATATTGATAATGGACGTTCCATTAGATATGCAGCTAATGCCATCGGAGTTCCATATGAAACTTTACGAGAGGCCGTCAGGCGTTTTCGGGAAACTGGTTCTTACAATAGAAGGCCCCGTTCTGGACGGCCTAGGGTAACAGAATCTAATCTTTCTTACCCAATCACATTTTGATTATTAAAGGTAAAAAAGATTATAAAATTCCATAAATACTAAGTATTATCCACAATACCATGTATTATATACGAATACAACTTTAAAGAAATATTTTTAGATGAAAACATGAAAAAATCAAGTATTTGGAATTTTTTGCCTATCAGTGTATTTTGCATAACATTATACCATCATACGCAAAGTTTTTAAGTATAATTACACTATTAAGACCTATGCACAAACACTTTCTAGTTTAATACATATAATTATTTCTACTAACCGATTGTTAGCTAGTAAAATTACATGGAGGAAATAACAACAAACTGGGAACTAATAGAGGAAAATACGTTTTATAGTTCAATTACTTCTATCCACAAAGATCATTAATACTATTAGATAAAATCTATATGAGCAAAATCAACCAGACCTCATACTTGCAATCTACAAGAAAACACATTACTAATGTGCCCTTGTTAATCTTAGAATAACAAGTGCTGTGCATCATAAACTGAGCAGCAATCCTTTACTAGAAACTCATATAAATTGCAAATAATGATGTTTTATGATCATTCTTATCGTTAGATATTTTATTAATACAAATATTACTGACAAACTGAGTGAATAAACAAAAGAATTATTTGAGCTTATTAATAAAAATAGATATAGTCCGTGGTATAGACCCCTTTTTATCAAATTATTAACATCCTCCTGAAACTTCGTAAATATCTTCAACTCATCGTAACCGAAAAATATTTTATTCTCAGAATTGGGGAGTTATTTAGAACTTTGTCTATTTATTTAGATACTAAAAAACTCGTGGATACCCATTTGCTTTTCACCTGAATCGTAAGATCATATGAGCCCAAAATCGAGAAAAAAGGTGGCCCACAAGAATGTTGGACCGTTTGTCATATATAACCTCGTTATTTTGAAAATTTGGGAGGGCAGGTCACACCAAACGGCTCAATATTTTTGAAGGCCATTTTTATCGATTTTTTGACCGAATTATCTTACGATTCAGGTGGAAAGCAAATGGATATTTAGGAGCTTTATAACTTTATTAAATAGACAAAGATTGTCCCTCTTCAGATTGAAAACGCCCCAATTCCAAGAGTTTTGGTAAATAAAATAGTTGTAGGTTACGATGAGATAGAACTATTTACGAAGTTCAAGGCGGATGTCAATAATTCGAAAAAAAGGTGTATGTACCATTGACTAATATAACAGATGATTGCATTAATTAGAAATTATACTGGATTATATGTGCTACTTAAATATAATGTTGTTTTAGATATCTGAATAAGTGTATTAATAAAAAACTGAGTGTCATTTAACGTACGAATTTCTTCCATTTTCCTAATTTCATTCTGATTGTTCTGTATCAGGTTACTCTAAGAACCTCAAATTTTAAAATATGAGGAGGGGACTCATCTCTCCAAGCCATTGCTTCGATCAGCCCTGATGAAGGCCTGAACTTATCAATCCCAGTTATCAATTATCCTTTCAAGACAAAAAAAATATATTAAAAAATATAAATTTTCATTATACTATGTTGCTTTTTGCTAAGTGCTACGCTTTTTGTATAGTAGAAGCTAATATATATATTTACATATGTATACTTTTTTTTTTTCTTTTTTTTTGCGTTTAGTTAATGCAAAAGTTTATTAATTTTTTTTTCTTGTATTACAACAATCTGTCTCTTGGACAACATTGGTTGTAGTGAGGGAGGATAATATTCACACTATATGTACATAAAATGTAAAATGAATAGCAAAATAATAATAAATGTATATACAATAAATAATAAAATAAAATAAATAATAAGAAAACTAAGCAAAAAAAACACATACATTCTTAAAAGTAGTCTAATAATGTAATCCTGACTCTAAATGTTTTGGATTAACGCCCATTCACACTGTTGTTTGCCAACGATATGCAATAGGAATATTTTTTGTCGTCAATAAAATTAAACGTTTTTTTTTCTTGCAAAATCATTCGCTAAAATAGGGAAATCATGTGGACTGATATTTTTTTTTTTTTTGGTCCGTTAACAATTATTTAAACAAATGTAATATTGAAGTTACAGTTCTATCTTTGAATAATTTACTGAAGTTATCGCCCAAGACTGTAGTTTCTTTGTCTAAACTCTGCTCCACAAATTTGTCTTTTTAAAACTAATTGTCATATATGTATACAATGAAATTGGTGTGTTCTTATTACTTAAAATATCAGTTTCCACTGGTTTTAAATAACAGTGAACCGTCTAAGAAAGAAGCACTGGGATCTCCTGGAGTCCTGCCTTGGCTTCCACATCGGGGGATAAAGCATGACGCAGAGTCCCCTGGGTGAATGTAAATATTGTACATAGGTGTGAATGTGTTTTATTGATTTTAATTTCATTTAGCTTTTATCTATTATTTCATTTTCTTGTACAGAGGCATATCAACTTAGTTATTTTATTTTACTATATTTCCTTTTCTTTATTATCGAAATATTAGTTATTATTTGTATGTAAATATTGTTTGAATGATTCATGTAGCCTTAATATTAATGCCCTTTAATGTGAGAATGTATTAATATTCAATAAAAAAATAAAATAAAATAAAAGTTATTTAAAATGGTTCAGAGGGTTTGGATTATTTCTTACAAGCAGTGAGTGATACTAAAAACGATATTTAATTATGCATAAAAAAATAGCGTTATCTAATCCGGTTATGATACCTTCTTTGCATTTGATGAATTGGAAAGCAGGATCAAATATGAAATAGAATTGCATTTGATGAATTGGAAAGCAGGATCAAATATGAAATAGAATTAGTCATATTAATACTACAATACAATTATTTAATCTTTGTTATATTGTAAAGAGATTGTTGAGTAATTTCCTCTGTTCTTCCAGTACCCGTGGACACCGGAGGAGTTACCAAAGGCGGCAGTGTAATGACCCGGCGGAGCTCCCGGTGTTGAGTGGGCCGGAGCAGATTTAAACAAGTTTCCAGGCCCTCGCTAGCTCCGTCTCTCTCTCGCTCTACATCACTCTTTATCTCTCCTTCTCCATCTCTCCGTCCTCGCTTCGATAGAAAAACACTCGCCGGAGCGGGTCTCCTTCCCCGGCCTAATTTCTTACCCGACCGTTCACATTTCACTTGTCCAGGGCGGATGTCTTCGGCTCATGTCCGAGCGGGTCCAACGGAGGAATGCAGCTCTCTCAGAACTGGACAGCCGTACTCGAGGATACTCGTGATTAAGAAAGATTAATACACTAACTTGGAATCAGTTAGCGCTAATACGTTGTCACGGACTCTCTTCGCAAATAATCCAAATTATCTGGACGGTTAGGTTAGTTCCCGATGGAGTTCACGATAAGAGCATTATACAGTTAGATTTGATTTGAGCGTAGTCTTAAGTATTAAAATGATTTCCTAGCTAGTCAGGGTTCGCTAATTAGCGATGATAGATATACTGGGTCTGACTAATCTGTTGATTCCCATGTCTTTTAACGTTTGTTAATTAAAAGAGCTACTATTTGGTGGTCGATTATTTTGTTGTTATATAAATCTCCTCTTAATTCCGAACACAATACAGATCATTTCTTTGCATTAAATTCACAAAATACACATCTATTTTTTTCATATATACTGACCTCAAGTTCTTTATCTACTTTTGCTCGAATAATTTCAATAAACAAGTGTATTTATTTTATAATTTTTGGTTGATGGTTGACTGTAGTGAATAATGAGGAGAAGGATAGATGGAGTGATCTATCGAAATAAAAATGACAAAAATAAATATTAATATTTATTTTAACATTTGTTGACGTTTCGACCAGAAGATTAGCTCTGAATAATAATAATAATAATAAGGCCTGAACTTCGGGTCGAAACGTCGACAAATGCTAAATACATATTATCATTTATTTTTTCCATTTTTATTTTGACTGATCACCCCAACTATCCTTCTCTTCAATATTTATTTTATATTGTCTTAACAACACTTTGAAATATACACGGTATTGCAATCGTAACAGCATGTCATAATGGCACTTGCATTCAAATTTAATTACATTTTTAAGCAACCATCTATTGCATATTGCACATGGCGCACTATTCAAATTTCATACCTAAATTTGAAATATTGATATTATTTGTAATCATTAGTTTTAACAATTTACTATACTTTTCGCTGTCAACTTCAGAGTTCTATACATATATAAAATCTATTTCCACAGGTTTTTCAGACATATTCAGCTTCTGAAATGCACCTATTTTTATATACCAATATAAAGCGCGACCACATTCAGAAGACAGCAACCGTTAATAACCAATGCAATAATGACACTATAATCTCGTAATTTTTATTTATATATTTAAAAAACAAATGTCAATGTTTAAAGAAATAAAGATTAGTTTAAAGTTGCTGCCATGTGAGTTCAACCTGTGGCTGATCGCTTATTGTGAGCAGCTTATGGAGATTTATTTTAATAAATATTTGTCACTGTAATTATATATGTAGTCCGTTGGTAAAGAACTCTATTTCCAGTTTTCTATTTGTTCAGCGAAGCCAATTTTCCTTAACTTGAGTAATTAAAATTTTTTTCTTAGTTACTAAATCTGTATCCGGATGTAATGGCCATCATGTCGCATTATTTTGTTTGTTCGGAGAGCCAACTTTCCATAAATCTGAGCAGTTAAAATTTGTTTTTTAGTTACTAAATAATTCAATTAAAAAACGGACCTCCGTGACACAGATATAAGCAAATTATATTGAAGTACGTTTAAGATTATTTATATTATAATTTTCTTTATATAGATATAAAAAATGCAAATCATGTGGTATATTTTTAGTATATTATTCAATTTCATTATTGAATTTTTACAAGAGTTATACACATATTTGTACATGTGTCATATCACACTATGGAGATAATTTCTGCTACAGACTTAGGAATGTTTAGGTAACAACTGAATACTCTTCTACACATCAATTGAACAACCCACTCAACCTAAGCAAAGGTACGATCCGGATAAAAACGTTAACAAAAAGGCACAAAACGGTACGATGAAATCGGTTTCATTTTCTTTTTAAAGTCTCATTTTTCATCATCTGTAGAGCGGTTAGTTTTTTATACCTGAGCCCTTGATTAGTGTGTAAGCTTCTAATAAAAGGTAATTTACCTGCCCTTTTTTTGAGTTCTTCTGCTCCGGCTGTAGGGCAAACTATCTGAGACAGTTCTATTCTACAAAATGATTTTATAATACGATGCATTATAGTTGAAACCTTTTTTTTTTTTAATTAAAATAAAAGGTCATTCTACTTGAAATTACAGATTTTTTAACGTATAAGTCTCGGACTTGCACAATTATTAGGACATCAGTCTACAATAATTAGTGCTATTATAAAAGTATAGGTATTATTATATTATTACGGAATTAGTGCATATTATTTTGAACAGAAAAGGAATCTCTTGGTTCATGTATCTATCTATAAAAGAAATTCGAAATTGAAAATAAAATACTAGAACTAAAATTTATTTTCTTTATTTTATAAAAGTAAGAAAAATATTTGATTTAAATAAAAATACCCGACAATAGAAATTGGAAAATTTTATTCACCCTAAGATAATAGACTTCCATGTCTACTTAAACATCTTGGTAGAATGAGAGGGAAATTGACAACTACGACAATTTAAATTTGGTGTATTTGTCCGGTTCATATCACAATACCTTATGACTCTTGGTAAATAGATTGTTTCCCACGTATCGTATGTCAACGCGTTTGCAGTATGTCAACATCCGAAAGAGTCTTCAGTTTCAATTGGATGATGGATACTCGACTTCTACACCAAATTTAAATATTCATAGATGTGAAATTTCCAATCAACCTGCCAAGATGTTTAATTAGATATGGAAGTACATTCCTTTAAGCTAGATAGAGTTTCTGTATTTGGTTTATTTTTTTAATATTACATGATATCATTTCAAATCAATTTATAATCGAGATTTTTTTCATTATTTTGAGCTAAGATAGTTTCAAAACATGGACGAGATTTAACTGAGTGATTGGAGACGTCAAAATTAAAAATCATGCCATTCGCTCAAAAAATGTTAACGTATTTTTAGCGGATTTAATTAACAAACTTTACTCTGTAATTTCCCAGAATTATGAGCTAATTTTAAAAAAAATCACGGGATCTCACCGAATAATTTAAATCGTTACCAATTCATTAGCCAAGCTATTAAACATATTTTATTCAATCACGGGTCAGTGTTTAAACTCGAATTATTTGAAAACATTCACAGAATCTTACCGAATAATTTGAGCTATAAACTAAAAAATCGACCCACCCGTTCGTTCGAAAAATCATTACATACATTTAAAGGGACACTCTGAACACACGACCCTCTTGTCGTTTCGCTTTCAAAACATTTAAGGAACCTTACTGAATAATATTACATATTTAACTTAAGGATTATCCAGTCGTTCGCTCGAAAAATAGTTAAATATCTTTCTGCTAATCGATTAAACACATTTTATTTAATGATGGTTAAGTATTCTTAGCTCAAATTGTTTTGAAACACAATGAAGATATCACCACACAATTTGAACCATCAAACTTAAAAATCGATTTAGATGTTCGTTCAAATCAGCATTACAAAAAGTTTTGAAAATTGATTAAATACATTTTATTTAATCAAGATCCAGTATTTTATCACTAATTGTTTAGAAACACTCAGGAGATCTCCCAGATTAATTTGAGCTATCAATTGGATCAAAAATCGATCTATACGACGACCCAAATACATAACCCTCTTTTCGCTTAGATTATTCGGGTAAAAAAAGTTTACTCAACACTTTTAAAATTTAAAAAAGTCTTTACATCAAATTTGCATCGTCTGTACACAATAAGCGAAAAGTATCATATATGTATGTATTCCTATGCCTTCTGGTTACCGACTTGCCAATATCCTCAAGAAAAGGGCTAGAAGGATTCTTCAGAAGAACAGAGGATATTATCGAGAGGTCGGGGTCCAAATAGGAAATAGGACAAGGAGAGGGATGAAAGGAGAAACGAAACGACAGAAAAAAAAATAACAAAGAGATAGAAAGAAAAAGAAAAAGGATTATCAGAGAAGACCCGGGGCTCTGAGTGAGTGTGTGTGTGGAATTGGGGCGACCCAGGGGGAACCTGTCGTCCTACACCTGCCCCTATTCTCTTATAACATTTATAATAAATATATTTTATATTTGTAATATGATGTATGTATAATTGTTTACATACATTCATAAATTTAAACTATCACATAATGCTTGGGTTGTTATTGATCAAATAACATATAGATCATCATATATTGCCAGGGTATATAGTGCTATACCCTCAATTGACCAAATACCTATCTAACGTTACTTGTGTGACATGCGTGACACCACGTTAGAATGAATAAATTATATTGGTAAAATTTACAACAAATAAATCTTAGAATATCATTGCTTTCATTGTGAAAAATGTTACATATATAATACAACATTAGATTTATATATAACACGTAAATATTATGTAATATCATACTAAAACAAATTTAATCTGGATCTTAGTTCCATTAATTTCCCAGCCTTCAAAGCTTAACTATTGAAAAAAAAAAAGCACTAGAGGTAACTGTTTTCTTTATTAAAAATTACGAATTCTTGTATTACATGATTTGATGAAAAATATTCACCATATATCATAAAGATAGTTTTGGTTTTATTTTTATTCAGTTGGATCATAAAGAAAATTGAGGAGGGCCAGAGGAAAGAATTATTATAATTCTTCAACAAAGAAATACTATTATATTTTTTATACAAGCCATTAAATATTACTATTATATTATATTTAAATGTATTCTATTTTCTTTTTATAAACCACCTTTCATTTTTTTTTTTATAAACTATCTAACTCTAATCATCCCTACAGGGGCAGTGGCTCAGACACGTTTTGTAAATAGCCTTATATTAGAGTTTCGGCAATGGCCAGATTATCCACTGAAGCTATGTAAGGCCGTTTGATCTCCTAGAGTCATGCCTTTCCTTCCACGAATGGAAAAAAGGTGTGGCTCGGAGTTCTCCTGAAAGAATAAATTTTGTAAATATTGTATGTTTGTATGTAAGTTGTTATTTCCGTTAGTTCAGTTTTTTTTTTTTTTTTTTGTTTTGTTTATATACATTTAGTTTTAGTTACTTTATTTTCTTGTTCAATATATTTTTATTTACTGTACATAAAG